TTATGTACAAGAAGTAAAATCCAAATATTTATCAATTATAATGGGTACACTAAGCACTTTGTTGTTGACTACACGTTAGAAGTCGGCTTAATTGCTAGTTAATTTTAAAAAGTCGTGCATGTGACACCTTCAATTATTGTGGTATTAGAATACCCAAAATCAACGATAATAATACCCAAGAGGAGGAGTAATGTATATAATTAAATAATATTAAATGAAATGATGAATAATTTTTTTTCTTCTTCTTCTTCTGTTATTGTATTCAAGGCATTAAATATAGAGTGTATGTATTGTTCGTGTATTGAACATGAATGTACAGTACAATCAGACATGTTTATTAATATATCATCGTCTCTAGTAATGTGTCCCAAACCTATTGTATTATATTAATTTAAGCAAGTGAATATAAATTATAGAGTAATGCTACTTGCAGTCGCTCACTGCAGCAGTCGTCCTATGTGGCACACACATGGCATGTAGTTATTTGATACATTAATATGGTAGTTTTTTTTACTACATTTAATGCATCAAATACACACTTGCCATGTGTGTGCCCATAGAACGACTGTTGCAGTGAGCGACTGTAAGTAGCATTATTCTAAATTATAGTGTACCTAATAATTGGGTAGGGTTATCGGTTGTTGATTTTACTGTGCTTAATTTGTCAATAATTAATTTTAATAACACATTTTATGAAATTAACAATCTTTATCAACCTTTCATCCTCGCATTTCATTACCTTTTATAAAAATTTATTAAAAATCTAATTTTTAACTATTTTGATGGTGAAGAAAATGAATTTATTCGCCGTGTTAAAAATGTTCACTCGTTAACTCCTTATCCAATGCGATTTTTATTTTTTCGATGAATAATTATTCATGACAGATGATACTCCCCTTCATCTTTCTCCATGAATGCCCAAAGGATATTCAATGAAATACTCAGTAAATATGAAACTCTTATATTAAATTAAACTGCCAAATCCAGATTTAATGAGCCTAAAAATTTCTTGAAAGCAGCAGCCAACCGGAACTTAGCTAGAGCCCACTAGAAGAAATTGTTAACGCGTAAGAAATTAACACCAAGGATTGCAGCCACCCAACCAACAACAATGCAATCTTTTCTTAATCATATCAGCTGTCATGAAAGGAAAAATCCATTCGTATAGAAATGGCTTTCACATAAATTCACCAGAATACTCACAATGAGTGGGTCCCACCGTGTAGTAAACAAAATTGCATGGGCCTCACCGTGTGTGTGTTCTGTTGGTTTTGCTTCTGTACATGAAGCAAAACTCGTCATGAAAACCCAAAAAGGAATAAATAATTTATTCTTTCTTCAATATGTGTTAGCGTTTTAATTTAACATTTAATTTTCGACAATTAAAATCTTAAACGGTTACATAATTCATTGACCTCAAAATTTGACGAGAGAAAGCTGTCAATACATCATAGTCATTTCCTTGCTTACCTATTCCCTTATTGCAAGAAAGGACTCTATTAGGTTGCAAAGGAAACCTTTCCAAAAGGTGGATTGACCGCCTAAACAAGAATTTGGCTGGGGTTTGATTTCATACATTTTCTTAAGAACAACGAGCTATTTACAAATATCTCAATGCTTAGTGTATTTTCAATGACACATGTCACGCAGTAATTTGAGGATATTCCCAAAAAAATCTTATATGCACGTGTTGCGTGTCAATTGGTTATGAAGTTCAACAGATTTTTTGTTTCATTCTTCTTGCATCGTTTCAGCGTTGATGCTACGATTTTTTCAACTACATGATTGCAATAACTTCAATAAGCAAGCTCGGTGTTGGGAAAATTAAGGGCATGTTCTCTTTACTGTTTTCAAACCATTTTCAGTTTTCGAAAACATTGAAAACATGTTCACTTACCTATTTTTGGAAATGAATTTCCGAAAACAAGTTTAAAATTTACAAAGAAAACAGAACAAGCCTAAAAAGTCGTTTTGACTATTTTCAGCTAAAACCAAGCCAAAACTTCCTTTTTTTTTTGAAAACAAATTTTCAAAATGACAAAATGAACGCGTTTTCAACAATCTCAAAATGAACACTCAAAACACAAAACTCAAAATGAATTAAAAACTAAAAACTGAAATACGAAGAGAACAACCCCTAATATGTTCTTGATAACATGGTAAGATAATATATATATTAGTAACATGTATGTTGAATGAGGACCTACTTTATATA